GATACTAGATGGTATAAAGCTGTTACGGATCCTACTTGTTCTGCTTCGGATACCGTGACGGCAACGAAGAAAACCGGTCACGGAGAGGATGTGTGGCATCCCTGACAATACTGTGGACCCTGGTCAAGCATCCCAGACTGCAACTGGCACAGGCCTCTGATAAGTCAACATGAAGGTTAACAGCACAGTTAACTGCCCAAAGCCAACAAGGGTGGACCAATCGAGCCCGTTTGATAAGGGCTGAGATGCCAAAGCAATCATATCGAACTATGGCAAACAAGAGGAATGATTGAAGAGGGCATTTATTTACCCACCGTGCGAGGAACGTGCTTACCTACCAGTACAGACAGTCCTCGAGTTACAACAGTTTAATGACCACTCAAAGTTACAACGGCACTGAAAACGGTGACTTATGAGCATTGTCCACACTTACAAACGTTGCAGTATCCCCTGTGTCACACTTGACAACTGACTCATATTTATGACAGTTGCGGTGATCACTTTTTGCGACTTTCTGACAAACAAAGTCGAGGGGGGGAGGGAGCCAGAGTCACTTAACAGCTTAACAACTGACAGGTCATAAAATGGGGCAAAACTCACTTAACTGTCTCACCTAGCAATTTCAGGCTGAATTGTGGTTGTTAAGTCGGGGACTACCCCTATTTCCTTGCACGTATTTGTGCAAGAAATCCCCCCTATAGCTGGGGTTTGTTAATCTCAGAAATGGCCATTTCTGGAAAAGACCACACAAGACACAAAGCACAAGCCTAGTTCACAACGACAGTCCCTTGGGGAAGACTAGTTGCCAGCCTATTTGACAAGATTCTGATCCTTTCCGATTTCAGGGTTACGCAGTTGGGAAGCAGGCAACGCAAAACGCTCAGGACACAAAAGGCTTCGCTATCCGCCTTTCTTTGCATTAGCCTAAACACAACTGATTAGGAATCATGTTATGAGGAAGGAGGCAGAACGCCAGCTAGATAAAGCGTTGTTTATTTAACACTAGTGATGTACGTGCATTTTATAGGGTAATCAATGGACCGCGATGCACGCCTCAATGGACCTTACCGGCATTTGGAGGCTGGGAAAAAAATACAATTAAATAATGGGAAGGACAGCGCAAGCGGTGGATGAAGCCAAAGATACCGACACCCCTGCGAGGTAGTCCAGGCAGGAAACCAAAGCCATGAGTGCGAACACTACCTACGTTGTAAGGTTACAATAACAGAGAGCCTTGTAGGTGTCTTCCCCCCCACACACACACTAGAGAGGCTCCCACAATTGGGACCAGATTCTGTGCTCCTGTGCAAGACACTGAAGTGAGTTGTGCCTGAATTTATGACCTTTTTGCCATGGTTAAGGGAATCAGGGCAGTCGTTAAGCGAATCATGTGGTCGTTCAGCGAATACAGCTTCCCCCTTTGATTTTGCTGGTCTGGAGATGGCTGGGAAATTGAGCACGCGATTCCGGGCTTGCTGCAATCACACGTGCAGGTTATCAACTGTCCAAATTTTGATCACGTGACCAATGAGGATACTGCAAGGACCGCTCACAAGTCACTTTTTTTCTTCTTCTAGTGCCACTGTAACTTCCGACGCTAAACAAATGGCTGCAAGTGGAGGACTCCCTGAATCCATACACTTTTTAATCTTTCTGATCCTTTCATTTCTGTCAAGTTCTTTTTTGCAGGAGCTGCAAAAAAAGCCCTCCACACAATCATCCCATGAAGAAACAGTGCCCAGGTGTCAATACAGGCAAGTCCTCCGCTTACAACAGTTCATTTAGTGACCATTCAAAGTTACGACGGCACTGGAAAAAGGGACTTATGACCGTTTTTCACACTTATGACCGCTGCTGCATCCCCATAAACCACATGATCAGAATTCAGGCACTTGGCAACTGACTCACATTTATGACGGTCACAATGTCCCAGGGGTCACGTGATCAGCTTTTGTGACCTTCTGACAAGCAAAGCCAACGGGAGAAGGCAGATTCACTTAACAACCAGGTTACTGACTGAACTGCAATGATCCACTTAACTGTAGCAAGAAAAGTCGTAAAATGGGACACAATGTCACTTTACAAATGTCTCACTTAGCAACATACATTTTGGGTTCAACTGTGGTTGCAAATCGAGGACTACCTGTACAGACGATCAGCAAGTCACAAAAATCCAAAATAAACCTGGAAAATTTAACGAAAAAAAGAAAAGAAAAAGGCATACACCAAGCAGCCAGTCCAGGAAGGAATTCCCCCTGGGTGGGCTAACCCAAGTCAAGAAGAGTAACACACCGACACTTGTGTTTGATCCTGATAGCCAAATCTGGCTCGGTTTACCTTCCCAATAAGTAACCAAGTCGGAAGATCATATAAAAGCAATTTATTAGAGTACTCTGATAAAATGCAGTCTCTCTATGAAAAAGAGCCTTGAACCCCATGTTACATTTTTTTATATAGTTAACATAAGAAAGAAAAATGAAAGAGGAATGTTGATTGGACAGGATAAAAGTAACCTCTGCTTTGCATAGGGAATTAGTTACATCAAAATAGAATAAATGGAATAGAAAGAAGAGAGAATAGAATGGAGAATAGAATAGAATAAGGAATGGAATAGGAGAATAGACAATAGAATATAGAATAGAATGGAGAATAGAATGGAGAACAGAACAGAAACAGAATAGAGAATAGAATGGAATAGAGAATAGAATAGAACGCAGTATAGAATAGCACCAAATAAGGAATAGAACAGAATAGAAACTGAAAGGGACCTTGTAGGTCATCTAGTCCAGCCCCCTGCCCAAGCAGGAGTCCCTACACCATTTCTGACTGATGGCAGTCCAGTCTCTTCTCCAAACCTTCCAGGGATGAAGCTCCCATAACACGCAGTCAAACACGTTACACACTGGCATCCCATAACATCACCCACCTCCATTAAAATGTGTGACCCCAGAAGGGGCGTAAATTGTAAGGGGAAAAAAATATATATTGTTTGGAGTTCACAAAAGAGGCTGGCAGCCAGTTATCTGAAATGGGGGGGGGCTGGACTAGAAGACCTCCCAGGTCCCCTCCAGCTTCTATTCCTATTCCAAGATAAACCAGACCCCTCCACACACAAACCTTTTTGCTTCCAAGTCTCCATCCCTGCTTGTAAGTTTAGGAATGTTAAAAAAAGTTTATTAAACCTGAACCTTTTAAAAAGAGAGCAGCCTAAAGATTATATATACTGCTCACAAAAATAAAGGGAACATTTTACCAAGGAACTGAAGGGGTTTGCGTTCCCTTTATTTTTGTGAGCAGTATACATATATACAGATATATATATACACATACACACACACATATATATATACACATATATACACATATATATATTTAAAGTCAATCAGATAAAAATAAAGAACTCTGGGATGTAAGGTAAAAGCCTTTTTTTAATTAATTGCTGAGCTTTCGTTAACAACCTGTTAACATCATCAAAGGGCTAAATGAGAAGGGGGGAGTAAGCGCATAAATTTACTGTTGAACTGTTATGTAAATTTATGCGCTTACTCCCCCCTTCTCATTTAGCCCTTTGCTCTGATGATGTTAACAGGTTGTTAACGAAAGCTCAGCAATTAATAAAAAAAAAAGCCTTTTACCTTACATCCCAGAGTTCTTTATTTTTATCTGATTGACTTTAAATGTCCATACCTGGGATTCCAATATTCAAAATTATCAAAGACATATATATATATATACACATATATACATACACACATATCATAAAATGGATAAAAACTCACGATCACCAGGAGAATAAAAAGTTTAAAACTTTAATTTAAAACCAAGCTTTCGCTGGGAGCTCCCAGCATCATCAGGGTTAACAGCGAAAGCTTGGTTTTAAATTAAAGTTTTAAACTTTTTATTCTCCTGGTGATCGTGAGTTTTTATCCATTTTATACTATGAATTTACCCAGGAGTCACGTCTTCAAGGATATTGATACACACATATATATACACATATATACACATATATATACACACATACACACATATATATATA